TATTTGTATATAACCAGCACACTTCTTGCCATCCACATTAATAATTTCTAGATTGCTATCTTCCCTAATCCACTGTAAGCACCTTGTAGAGTCATGTGCTGCTCTATCCCAGGAAGCACGACAGGAAACAACCTGCAGGCTCAGCATGCTCCAATTCTTTTTTCCAAGTATTTTCAACACATGGTTGATTGAATCTGAGGAAATGAAACCCACAGATACAGAAGGTTGGAGGTTACTATAGTGCTAGTGGCTTAAAAAATAAGACAAATCAAGTCTAGCAAGATGGCTCCACAGTTAAGAGCACTGGTTGCTCTTGTGGAAGACCCATGTTCATTTCCAGGCCCCACATGGCAGCTAGCAACCATCTGTAACTCCAGCTCCAGGGGATCGGATGCCCTCTTCTGGCCTCCTTAAGTGTACAGATGTGTACACTTAAATACATGTAGGCAAAACACTCATACACATAAAATAAAAATAAATCAATCAAAAAATATATTTTCAAAAACTGATTTGTCAATCTGATGACTCTAGAGGTCAGAAGTCAGGTGCATCTTACCAGATTAGACTCAAGGTATTGACCAGGCTTGGAAGGCTCTAGGGGACAATCCATTTTCTTCAGCCTTCCAAGACTTAAAACCTAATTCAAAGGCTTTCCCTCTGAGTATGTTCTCTCCTCTTTTCAAAAAATATTTATTTTACTTATTTTACTTTTTGTTATTTATTTATGTGTGCATGTGTGTCTGTGTGAGTGTATGCCATGTGTGTGGGGAGGTATCCATGGAGTCCAAAAGAAGGTGCCAGATTCCCTGGATCTGCAGATACAGAACCAAACTCAGGTCCTTTAGAAGAGAAGGAAGCACTCTTGACAGCTGAGCTATCTCTCCAGCCCCATGTTGCCTCCTCTTTAAACATGCTATATAAACACTAATAAAATTCTAAATATTAAACCATCAAAAGTATTCATAGGAGCTATGCCCCTTTAAAACAAATAAATTGATTTTTAATATATCTAGAACCTCTAATCTTGACCCCTGTCACTTTAGTAACAGTATAATCAAATCTCCCCCTCAATGCTCCACTCTGTTTTGTATGCTACTTATACCTCTACTGTGCCCCCAAACAATACCTCACCTGGTACCAAATTCTTAGGAAGTTTTAATAATTATTATTAGTTGATTAATTCACTGATAAGTTTCATTTGTGTGTTGTGTCTTTAAAAAAAACAGATTGACAACTTTTTTCTTAAAATTTTTTATTACATTTATGGGATGGGGCATACATGCCATGAAGCACATACGGAGGTCAGAGTACAACCAGTAGAAGTCAATTCTCTCCTACAATGTAGGACTACAAGATCACACTCAGGCTTGGCAATTGTAAGGCTTGAAAATAAATACCTTTACCTGCTGAGCCACCTTGTTGGCTTATAGATCGGCAGCTTCTTAAACAATTCAACATACAACTGCTGTACCACCTAGCATTTATATTCCTGGGCATTTATTCCAGAGAAATAAAGACTTACATTCATTTAAAAACCTATACACAAATGTACACACCAATTTTACTCAGAGAAGCCAAATCCTAGAAACTATTCAGTTAAACAAAGTATGGTACAACTGTACCCTGGAATAGTACTCAGCCAGCAAGAGAAAACAACTACTGGTATGTGTAGCCACCAGGATAAACCTCCAATAAATTACACTAGGTGGACCATCAATTCCCAGAGATTATATATGATTCTGTGGTGGTGGAATGAGAACATTTCCCATAGGCTCCAAGTATCCGAACACTTCATCCCCAGTTAATAGTGCTGTTTTAGAAGGTTTAGGACATATGGCCTGGCAGGAGGGAGCAGATCATTGGGGTGGGCTTAGTCTTGTCCACTTCTAGTATGTCTCTCTGCTTCCTGCACTTACTTGAAGATGTGAGCCTTCTGCTTTCTACTCTGCCTGCCTCCTGCCATGCCTCCCTGCCATGATGACCTCTTCTCCCCCTGGAACTGTAAGCCAAATAAACTCTTCCTCCTGTTTTTGGTAGGTGTTTTATCACAGCAATAGAATAAATAACTAACACCGAAGTTGGTAGCAGAGAGCAGGCTGTTGCTGTGAAGAACCTGGCCATGCTGGTCTTTGGAGAAATGTGGAAGACTTTGGAAGTTTGGACTAGAAAAGCAGTTGGGTTCTGTAAGCAGAGCTTAGTGGGAACTTGGATGAAAATAGTTCTGAGAGCAAGGTAGTTCCAGAGAGAAACAAGGATATAAAAACAACTAGGATATTTTGGCAAGGAATCTGGCTGCCATCTGCCTACTGCCTAAGAGCTCACCTCGGGCTAAATTAAAGCATAATGGACTCATTTCTTTGGTAGAGGAAACTTTAAGACAGCCTAATGTTGAATCAGTGTCATGGTTATTAATGGCAAATATTATGCAGACCTACAATGAAAAAAAGACAAATGGGGCATAAAGAAATACCTCAGGACAAGACCCTACCCAGCTAAGCTTCTACCTTGTGAAAGGAAAGGCCCAAGGAGTTTTATGGTCCTAAATATGCAAAACATACAAAAGCTGCTGATAATGTGGGTGAAAGAGGCCAAGGCCCATCCCAAATTGGCTGCCAAACTTGGCAGTGGCCTTCAAGTGGTACTGGCTTTAGAGGCATAGACGATGCAAGAGTGAGGGGATCATCAATTCTTCCTCCTTGGTTTCAGAGAGCCTCTGAGTCCAGGCAGTATATGGCAAGGGAATGCCTTCAAGTGGTACTGGCTTTAGAGGCATAGACGATGCAAGAGTGAGGGGAATCTCACTCTGTGTGATTTAAAAGGCCCTGAGAGTTCAAGAGGCTCTTGTGTAAAGCTGTGAAGGTGAAGCCTGGTTTGCAGTTGAGACCCCAAGTTGTTGGAGATGACAGAGCCATGAGACATCTGCCAAGGAGAGCTGTGTGCAGGGACTGGCTTCAGGTCAAGAGAGAGATGTATGTTTCATGTGACAAAGCTGGGCGGGCTGAGCCATCTAAGCCCTTTGGAATTAAAATCCCAGACATCGGAAGTAGAGTTACAGGGTTTAGTGTTTGCTCTGCTGGGTTCCTGTCTTGCTTTGGTTTAGTATTTCCTCACTATGCCCCATTTGTCCCTTTTGGAATGGCAATGTGTATTCTGTGCCACTGTGTGTTGAAAGTATGTAATTTGCTTTTTGATGTTGTAAGGGGTTACAGTTAAGAGGGTGCCTTGAGTCTCAGAAGAGACTTTGGACCTTGGATTTTGAAATGTTGTTGCAACTGTTAAAGACTGGAGACTTTGTAAGTTGGATTAATGCATTTTGCATTGTGGTATGGTCATGAGCTTATGGGGACCAGGGAGTGGAATGTGGTGGTTTGAATGGGAATGTTCCATACAGGCTCCAAGTATTTAAACACTTGTCTCCAGTTTGTGATAGTTCGGGGAGGTTTAGGATGTGGGGTCTTGCCGAAGGAAACACATCCACTGAGGGTGGCCTTTGGCCTTGCCCACTTCCAGTTTGCCTCTCTGATTCCTGTACGTGCCTGAAGAGGTGGGTACTCTACTCTGCACCAGCTTCCTCCAGTAATGCCTGTCTGCTGTGATAGACTCTTATCCTCCGGAAACATACGCCAAATAAGCTCCATTTGAAGTGGCCTTGATCATAGTGTTTTATCACAACAACAGAATAAGTAACTAAAATGGATTCCAATTATATAACATTCTTGATGTTTAAGATGTTGCCATTGGGACAACTGGGGAAAGGATACAAAGAATCTTTCTGTATTATTTTTGTTTTTGAGACAGAGTCTCACTCTGTAGCTCAGGCTGACTTCAAACTTAGTAGTCCTCCTGCTTCATCCTCCAAAGTGCTGGGATTATGGTCCTGCACCAACATGCCTTACCTCTATATTATTTTTACAACTACATCTGACTCTACAATTACTTCATTAACATTATTTTTTTAGTTTTCATATGTGCATGTTACAGGGATAGGGATATACATAGTGTCAAATTCTTCAGTGTCTCTGGGTTGCTTCCTCTTCACTGAGAAGGGACACATAGCTCATGCTCAGATCATCTAGTAGGTGCCACATTAAAGTTTATTTTTAAAAGAACATGTTTAATATGGTGTATACAGCATAGTTATCCACAAACAGGTAATAGCTTTGGTGCTACCATATCTCTTCTTTCCTTTCTGGAAATTTGTTGGTTATCAATTTATTATTGCTAAGGATTTTATCTTCTGTTTAAGATTCATGTGATACTGGGCATCCCTAGGTTGTTTCAATAATGACATTATGGTTTATTGGTTTTGATCCATATTTTTAATGTTGCTCATTTGCTTTCTATTCATTGCACTGATTTTTTTCTATCCTGAGAAGACACCATCTATTGAGCTGTTGGTTTGAATTTCAATGCCCAGAAATACACAACAATGAAGTATAATAATGTCTTCATCATCTCCTGGGTAGAGGAGGTGCTTTAAAAAGTAGTACTGGGGCTGGAGAGGTGGCTCAGTGGTTGAGAACACTGGTTGTTCTTGCAGAAGACCCAGGGGATCCGACAGCCTCCTCTGACCTCCGCAGGCATTGCATGACACAGGTACACTTACCTACATGCAGGCAATACACGTATACACTTAAAATAAAAATGATAATTTTTTTTTTTTTTAAGTAGCACTGCTAACCCAGCACTGTAGCCCATACTTGTGAGCTCAGCACTCAGGAGACTGAAGTAGGAGGACCCTGAGTTCAAGGCCAACTGGAGCTATATATGGAGACTCTGCCTCAAAAAATACTTCCATTCGCCTTTCTGGTATCCCTGCCTAACATGATCTATTTAAGTTTTGATGCCCGCCCACAAGAATGTAGCACTTGTGCATGCGCATATCATGACGTGACTTAAAACCCTGTCCACAGAGTCTGTGGCTGCTATGGGTGTTCTGACTGAGGACACAGCAGGATTCCACGATTTCATATAAGATGTCTTTCTGCTTTCTTTTTCAGAGACCACAGGAAGAATCCAGGAACGCTTTGCCAATCAGGTATTTCCTTGTTTCTCATGAACTAGAATTTTGTTTTAATTATTAATAATAAAGCATTAGGAAATGTTTCATGAAAGTTATGCTAATTGTTCTCTCTGAGCAGTCTATATGCTGCTGATTCTGAAACAAATAACTCACTCATCTATGGACGGTCATATGCTTCCTTTGTCTACCCCAAACCTATTCCTTCCCACCACCTCATCCTATTCAAAACTATGAAATAGTAAACAAACAGACTCAGTCACTCCAAATGTGACCCTGTGACCATGTCGTGACTTGTAGAACAAATGAATACCTCCATCTGCTTTTCCCTAAACTAAGGTGACCCTCCTCTGTGGTCTCAAGGGTCAGTTCACCCACCTGAAGTTCACTTGCTCCCAAGCAGCTAAGAATCGACCCTCTAGAACAAAAACTTCACTGCCCCAAGGTGACTTTCCTTTTCCATCATTTCTTTCTGCTCCCACTTAGCTGGAGCTGTCCCTTCTTTCACGCTTTCCATACCCAGTCTCCTCATCATCTAAGATTTGTATTGTCAGGTAGACGAACGTCTATGCAGCTCTTTAAGGTGCTTGTGACATGCAGCCACCCATGAGGTAAAACAAGAGAGGCCATGGCCAGGAGCTCTGGTGCCCACCCCACCAACCCCACTGCAGGTCAGTTGAGCTGCAAGGCTTCCGCATGCTACCAGCTCAGGAGACGTGAAGAAGGCAGGCAAGGGCCTGTGGCAAAACAGCGCTCAGGTTTCACTCGCACATACAAAATTCTATTCCTCTTTTTCTTTCTTTCTTTTCCTCTGGTATAAATTATAACACACCCTTGCCAGGAAGCAAATGACAAATCTGCGTTTATACCCATCAAGGGTATGTTTTTCTTTTGGTTGTTCTATTTTTTTTTTTTAATTATTACTGTTCTTTTCAGTTAGCATACAAAATAGTGGGTTTCCAGAGACTGGAGATACAGCTCAGTTGATAGAGTAACTTTATTGCCTAGCATGCATGAAGCCCTGTGTTCTAGCCCCAGCACCACCTAAACCGGATGTGCAGATGCATGGCTGTAATTCAGTTCTCAGAGGCAGGAGGATCCGAAACTCAAGATCCAAAGTTACAGAAGGAGTTTGAGGCCAGCTTGGGTCTGACATGGGATGGGAGCACCTCCAGGGTTTCAGAGATAACTTCCCTGCAAGATCAAACAACACATGATAATTCACCTATATAATGTACATCACAACATTGTCAACCCACCCAAATCAAGTTCTAGCTTTAGCTAATCTATGCCAAATACCCCATAATTCACCAAGCTTTAAACCCAGGGAACTCAATTTGTTTAACATGCCCTACAACAAAATGAGGAGGCAGAAATCAGTGCCTATCAGCACCTTTCTGCTTTTGAATTTGATGATAAAATGTTGCCTTGCAGAGTAGTCTCTTAATCCTTCAGAGCAATGCTTAACAACAAAGACAGCAGCGGGTCTCTCAAATGGTTTCTTTACCTTTGAGGCTCTGTGTCCTTAGATTGCTTTGTTGAGTTATTTGAAGGTACTCAAGTGGTGTCATAAGGCTGAGCAATAGTTAAAACCTAAAAAGTCACTGTTGTCATAATGTCTATGCAGTAAGCCACATGGGAAACACCTTACCTTATAAAGAGGTCTGTTTTCCCCATTGTTTTAATGAGTAAGAGCAATTGGTCAAAAATTCTACTGAGACCAGGTCACTTTGTTATTGTCAAGCTTTCTTTCAAGTATATTTTCTGCACTGAGCATACTTCTCTCATACCCCAAACCCCCTCTCACCCTCCTTCTTCCCATTGTCCCCGTAGACAGATTTATTTCTACTTTTGTATCATATGTGTGTGCATAATATATGTGATTTTATATATCCATATAACATCTAGGAACCGCAAATAACAGAAAACATGGTATTTGTCTTTCTGCAATTCGTTTACTTTGCTTTACGTGATTGTCTCCAGGTACAGTGAGGCAGACTCACACTACAGAATTTCCAAGTCCTGTATCTTTTCTTCTTTTACATTTGGCTAAACTAGACCAAAACCGAACACCAAATATTTACTCATAACCTTAAACCCTGATCTGATGCCAGAGAAAATGATAGTTTCCAGTCTCAATAAGAGAGGGAACATCTTCGAACCTTAAACATAGGGGATAAATGTGCTAGTATGTAATTTGTACAGTCATTCTCAGATAATCAAATTGCACACACTGTCTAACAGCTTACATTTCTAATGAATCAGTGGAATTTCTACCCACTGTTCTTCCAATGAGGGTGTGTCCCTACTCTCAAAACCAGACAGGCAATGTAATGCAGAGAGACGTCTGACAACTCAAATTTATCTGATTTCTGGAAAAAGAAAAAACGAAGTCACTACCTTTTCTCTGTTTTGCTCTGTTTTTTTTAGTTCATTTTGCTTTTTGAAACAACATCTTATTCCACACTGCAGGTCAGCCTCAAATTCATGGTAATCCTCTGTCTCTGTCTCCCAAATCAGCCTCTTTTTCAAATCACTTTACCGCCAAAGAAATTTGACTCTGGGAAAACTTTTTTTTCATTTATTTATTTAGGGAGTAGGGCAGGTCACAGCTTTCCTTTTGGGATCAGAGTACAACTTATGGGAAACTGTTCTCTCCTATAATATGGGTCACTAGTCCTGGTGGCAAGGGCCTTTACCTGCTGAGTCATCTCACCAGCCCCTTGAAAAACATTTTTGAAACCTCACTTTGGATAATCAATACAGTAATCTTTATCAGACAGCAATGCAAAATGGTATATTGTTAAGCATTAATCTTGCCCCTAAGTCCTTCCCGGTGGGCACTATAAATTGAGTAATTAAACTGAAATTGAAAATCTAGTCTTTTCTCTCCTCTTTCTTTTCCCCCAAGTGGGCAGGCTGGTTGGACAGCAACAGGAGAAATCAGGGCTGGAAAGGCAGGGATGCTCCCGCCTGCTAGCCAATATCCAGTGTGTGTTTTTAGCCCGCAGCTCCTTCAGCACACCTGAGCTCTGAGAACAAACAACTGTTTGAGTCCTCCGGAGAGAATGCCAGGGAGTCTTTCCTGCGTGATTCACTGGGGAAATCAGAATGCTTTTAAAAAGTAACTCGTTAGCATGGCTTTTTTATGAGAAGAGGAAAAACAGTGAAGAACAAAGTGCTTGGCGGCTTATGTCCCAAAATGTCATGAATGCATGACCCATTTTTTCAGCTGTGCCTTCAGCAACTCACTGTGGCAATAATTTCCTATCTGGAAATTGTTACTTGTAGAGGCAAAACCTCCTATAGGTTTTCTGAATAATTTTCAGTATGGTAGATTTAAGCGAATACCTTAAAATACTAGCCCCAAAATTTCAAAACCAAATAACTGTCATCATGAGAAGGGGAAAAAAAGAATATGAAAACATTTTCCTTTGCCATTGGAAATGACTTTATTACATAGTTGACATTGAAATCTCCAGTAAATTAATACCTTCTGCCTATGGTTCTTTATATAGCAGGTCACCAGAGACCCTAGTACATTAAAACCTTGGGGTTTTGCAGCTAGATGACAAAGAAGGACACAACATGTGTGTGGAGGGATCCATGGTTTAAGAAGAGTTTGTGTTGTGGAGAACGGTCTCCTTTCAGGAGCTGCGCTTAGAAAGGTTCGCCTTTGCTGATCACCCAGGGCAATGAAAGCCAAGTCCATGCACGCTCTTTCCTTGCCCATCTTAAACTCTGGTGACTGCCAGCAACCTTGGGCACTCCTCACTTACCTCACAGCAGTTCAGTCCCTATCTGTGCCCTCTTTGGGGGCCTCTTCCCCTCAACAACACCATCATATAAGGATGCTACTATTCTGGCTTAACCTACATTAATGAACTCATTCTGATATGATCATATCTTTAATGATCCCATGTCCAACTGGATCATGTTCACAGGGACTAGGCTTCAAGAATCCAATATCTCTGTCCAGAGGACGTGGTTCCACCCACACCAAGCTGAAAATAGCAGCTATCTCAGCTCCACTGCTCCTTCTGACTGCACCACACCGCCACCACCCTCATGTAATGATTCTTCACTCAGCTCCTGCCTTAGCATCATCCTGGGACTTGTTAACACAGATCCAGAAACTACACCCCCATGATATTCTGCACTAGTGGTTCTGGTGTTGAGTTTAGATAGAGGGCAACCCTCGGACCAGACCAAGGAAAGGACTATGTGCTTTACAGGGCATCAAGCATCATAAGTCAGGCGTGTCCTCTCTCACCCCTTCGGAGAGGATGCTCCACACCTTCCTAGATTATTTCTTCTCTAACCCCCGCCACAACCATCACCTCTTCCTTCTCTGTGCCTCTTCTTCCTCCTCCTTTTCCCCCTCTTTCCCCACTTGCTTCTCCTCTTCATCTTCACCCGTTCTTATTCTTCTCTCTCCTCCTTTTTCTTTTCATCTAGTATTTCAAAGTTTGAGAAGGGTGTGGCAGAAGGACCACTGTGAGTTCAAGATCAGTCTGGGCTATAGAATGAGACCTTGACTCAACTCCACAAAAGTAAAACCATTAAAATAAAATAAATACCAACTGAGCACAGCCAGAGTATGAGAGACACATGGAAGCTAAATTGGATCTCTAGTCAATGAGTGCGTGTCAACAGGCAAATAGAAATCCTAGCCAGTACCCTGGGAAACCAGGAATGCAGCTGCCTTAGCGTCTCCATATCTGCCCCACATTCCCTAAATGGGAGCACACTAGTTCTCCCCTGGTGGGTGAGATGAGGGCCTGTGCACAGTGAGGCTTAGTACTTCCTGGTATCTGGAGTCAGGAAAGGAAGCATGAGGCAGAAGCTACCCTCCCATTACCCTGAAGACTGACACATTTTGCATCCTTGACTGGGGTGGGCACAGCTGTCACCCAGGTACCTCAGCCTATTTCCACCTTCCTCTGTGCCTTCTCTCTTAATGTCCATGTCACCACGTGGGCCTCTAGTGGCTGGCTGGCCTTCAAGAAGAAAGAGGA